CGAGTCGGAATTGGACGGCAAAATGCAGTCCTCTTCGTCGCTCAGTGAGCTGCCGCTGAGCTCAGTTTCCACTGGGGGCTTCGGCTCGGTTGTGCAGGCAGTTTTTTCACTGGACTTGACATCCAGTGATTTCGATGTACCGGCAACCATGGCCACGGTATCCATGATTTCCGGGTTCTTTTCTGCCTCTTTGCTAGGTGGGGAATCAACGAATTTTCCTCCACGACCCTGGAATTTAACGTATACCGCCCCACATACACATGTGAGACTGCGCCCGGCTTTCATCAGGGTCGGGATATGATCCTCCGGCACCGAAACAACGAGGAACCACCCGTCCGTCTGTTGTCCGCTTTGAGTAGTAGCCAGTCCTTGATGTTTACCCAGCGTTTCTGGTACGCAAGCACATGACCAATGTCGCGTGAGTCCTTCCAGGCACCTTGGGCATCAGGGATAAGGATACCACATTTGATTCTTTGTGGTATCTCTGACTGTTTCTTAACCCGCCGTTGGTCGCGCTCAATTTTTGTAACAGGGTTGGTCACGTGGGGTCAGCAGGTATCCCCAAAAATAAACATGATTTTTTAAAATCTATGGCTTTTTTATAATTAATTTAGGATTTAGTAAATAGTTTAGAGTATAAAGAAATAATTTTTTTTTTAACTATTAAAACAGAACAGAAGCTTTTGGGCACGTTTTTTATAGGAATCTATTATATATATATAAAAATTATTAAAAATAAAAAATAAATCAACAAAAACTTTTCTTCTACCAAAATTAAATCTTCATAAAGTAGACAACTATACGAGATCAAAAAACCTGTAACTTACAATAAAAAATACATAAAACCATAAGCTGAAATTTACAATTTGTATGCTAACAATGCTGAGATACATTTTTATGGGAATCTATAATAAAAATTATTATTAGAGGTTAAAATTTATCAAGAAAAACTTTTTTCTCACAAAGTTTAATCTTCATAAAGTAGATAATGATATGAGATCATTATAACTAGTAAAAAAAACATGCTGACTGTTACAATAAGTATGTTCAGATACATTCTTCACAAATATTTTTGCAGTGCCTAGGGCATACATTTTTTTACACTTGTAGCATAGTGTAAAATATTTTCTGTCCATTTGGCGTGGGCAGTGTACACATCGTCTCTTCTTCGGTTGCGGTTCTTCTTCATCTTCCTCTATTTCTTGAACTTGAGTTGTTACAAAGCACATTATTGTGTTAGATAATTCTAGGGGCAAATTTTTCATCGTGCTTCGGCACTTTAGTTGAGTTTCGAATAATGAATAAGCTAACGACTTTATAAAATTCCTCCGCGTAAGACTCGTGTTAGGGTTTAGGCCTTCGAATATGATATGCGAATTCACAACTCCAATATCGAGTAAAGTAAAAAATAGACGCAGTGGCCATCTATAACAAGTACGTGCAACGGAGTAATTCAACTTCAGGCGATCAACAACGTCAACCCCTCCTTTTGTATTGTTGTAAAATGATATAATTTCTGGTAATTTTTCCGGTTTTGCGTCGTTTACTGAAGCATCATAATGCATAGTTGAAAGTAAGAGAACTACTTTATTCTTCTTTGGACAATATGATACTAAGGTACTATGATGCTTGCCGAATCCAAATAAAGAAGAATAAACCACTCGCCCCTTTTTCTTGAAATCGCTAGGTATTTCTCGTTTATTTTTTTTTATTGTTCCAACAATAGTCAAATTGTGCTGCATCACCAAATCTTCAGCTAGTGGAACACTAGTGTACCAATTATCCATGGTGATATTGCGACCCGTAGAATTGTCAACAGCACACAGCCCTGCAGGTTGAACTCCTACATACACCTCTAAATTCAGGATATAAAATAAACGAGCATCAACCAATGCCTGTATTTTTAGGCCATATTTTGCGGGTTTTTTAGGCATGTATTGCCTGAAACTACACTTTCCCTTAAAAGCTTCTAACATTTCTTCCAGTGTTACGTACTCACCAACAGTATAACACCGTTGACAAGCCTGTACAAACTCTTCAAACAATTCTCTTATGGGCGCTAATTTATCTTCGATCCTTCGCTCGTCACGGGTATTCCTGTCATCGAATCTGAGATTGCGCAAGAGAAATTTAAATCTTTGTACCGACATTACAGCTCTACAAATATCCAATCCAGTCCCATCTGGGTTGAAAACATCCGAGATACGTACGTGTGATGATTTGTATAGACCAATGAGATATAATAAACCTATCAAAGCTCTTATTTCAATCATGTCTGTTTCAGATGAGTCTCTATCTCTTTGATAATTAAATTTTTGCGATTGTATTTTCTGATTAGTTTAAAGAACAACCTTTTCTAACCATTCTTTTGAAAATAGCAATATCCAGGCTTTTTCAGCAGTATCTCTCTCTACATATGGCTTTAGGTCCTGGCAAATGGGTCACGATTTTCTGACTGCGGGTGCGACATGTTGGTGGCGGCGGTTGCTTCCTCCATCTGTAAATTACTTCAGTCCTACCATTTCTTAATGTTCACCACGTAACATTGTGAAGTTTGCAAGTGAGACAAGGGAACGTCATCTTCGAACCAATGTTCTGATTTTCCGTAATAGCTTCTGGTTCTGAATCGCATTCTTCTTCTGTATCAGTTTCGTGCTCACTTATTTGGGGCTCTATTTCATCACCACCTTCTTCATCATCTTCCCCACCAATTACATCTTAATCTGAATCTTCTTCCAACCAGTTTCTAATACGTTCCTCTTGTGACAAACTCATTTTGTACTTCTAATAATAATTGCACTTTTATAACGTCGTTGGTCGCGTGGGGTCAACTGACACCCGTTCACGAAAAATAGTCCGTAGCGTTCAAGTGCACGGCGCATACTGAATGGTCACTTGTTTGTGTCGCGTATTTAGTCGTTATAGGAAGGTAGCTAGAGTTTGGATGCGATAATAATATCAGTATTTTAAATATTAAGAAAATAAACTTTTGACGGGCGTTTATTCGCCCCACGCGACCAACGGCGGGTTAATAGTCAGCGAGGTGTTGGATTTGAGGTCGAAGGTATAAATATTTCCCTTCAACCAGTCCAGAGCCTTCTGGTCATCGCACCACAGCTTTAGGACACCTTCCGTGTAAACGGGTTTGCCTCTAAAAACCGGGCCCGACGCATCAGGGTCCTGGTTACTCCAGGCCTCGCTGAGCATCTTCCTCTGTATGGCCACGAGGATGTCATCAGCTATCTCCTTTGTTATGTGACCTGAACGCGCACACGTTAGGGCCACACCCAAATCTGCTTTAGCAGCAGAAGCGTAGCTTGTTCTTGCAGCCTTTGTTTGCTGTTCAAGTCGTACTTTTTTGTGCTCTCCTCTCGGCGATGTGGACTCCTCCAGCAATCTTTTGGCTGCTCTTTCCTTCTTTCCAGGACGCTTGGCTGCTCTCTGGTTCCTGGCGGATTTCTTAGAGCTGGTTCCGGCGGCCGTGCCTACTGCTCGGGCTGGATTTTCATCCTTCCCAGTTTCAGCACGACTACTTGTTCCAGCCCCAAGCACCGCAGTAGCAGTAGCTTGCCCAGCTCCCTGAGTCTTGCTCTTGGAAGCAGCGAGCGCGGCTCTTTCTCTGCGGCCTTTTTCTCGCTGCTTCTTATTCTTCTTTTTGACCTTTGCGCTACTGCCTGCTGGGATAGACCCACCTGATGGTGCGTCGGGTCGGCAAGTCACCATTTTGGGTGCCTTGCGCTTCCTCTTACGGTTCACCACTTGGCAGGCAGCGGAGAAAAGGTCTTCGGTCCTTTGGGGCTCCGCAGGAGTTTTGCTACTCGCGACCCCTTGCTCATTTTTCTCGTCCAGCTCCTTGGATTTGGAACTAGATTTAGAGACATCCAGCGCGGAAATTGCCCCCTTGGTGGGGCCACCTACGCTGGGTGGTACAGTCAGTGGAACGGCCGGTTTAAAGGCGGTTCCTTCTGGTTTATCAGTGTCTAAGGTAAACACCTCCGACACTTCTCCTTCTCTACTAATGGGCCTTATGTTGTCCATAGTTTTTGACATGTGTAATTAATTCGTCCCCCCCGGATTCCCACCCTCGATGGAGCCCGCACCTTTGGGAACGATTACCGGGGGAATATAGGGACGCAGAGTTGGCTCACAGCGCGACATCGGGAGCACGATCCAGCTGGCAGATAGGGCTGAAAAGGCCCATCCCCACTGCCCGAGTTGCCTTTCACTTGCCCCGTCAGCATGGCCTTTGCCACCACCTAGCCCTTTTCAGGGAGACTAGGCAGCCCCCACATCCCTCGCCTGCGACCCTCTGACGGGACGCTTGGCCATTTCCTTATCTGTGGCTAGCAGATAAGGCCACCGTTTAACTTGAAATCCGGACCAAAGAGGGCGTGTTGCCTCTAGACACTATATACCCCAGTGACGATCGGCTTAACTCTCCAGGACTCCTTCATCCCCGCATACGGCGCTCAACTGCGCAGGTGGGTGTGTTAGTCCACCAGATACACCCACTCTCTCCGGCGGAACCGTTCCCTTCTCTTTTCCGGGCTTGGGACCGGCAGCAATAAAAAGCATTGACAAAGTTAGTTGCCCGTGCTTCCTGTTGCAGGCAGAGTTAAATCGCGCCATCTAGTATTGAGTAGCAGAACTAGGACAGCTTTCTAGAAAATTCCATACTGGAACTTTCTACACCTAGTCAGTCACGACTGGTATGTACTCGAATATTCTAGATGATGAGACCGAGTCAGTATTGAATTAGCGATGCAAGCGAATACTTAGAAGCGATATAACTGCGAACTAAAATGATCAGTAGCGCATTTGTGTTTTATTATTATGTTTTTTGAGTTGTAATTTGTGTTCGGTAATAAAGTGTCAATTTTGGTAATTCAATCGGCAGTTTTTACTGTCACGAACCTCAAGCTCGTAACATTATTTATACATCGATAGGTTTCGCTTCGTTAGTGTCCGAAATTTATTTATTAACATTATCATGTTTTTAGGGAGGTGTTAGGCCATCGGATATAGGAGTAATAGCACCGTACCGGGATCAAGTGTCACTACTTCGTCGTTCACTAGCACATCTACAGGTAGAGGCCAGTACAGTTGACCAATTTCAAGGAAGGGATAAGTCTGTAATCATTTATTCTTGCACCAAGAAGGATGATGGTCAGAAGAATAAGAAAGTTAAGGTGAATCATTTTATATTATATTACCTTTGGTAGATAAATAAATAAATAAGCAGTATATCTACATTGCAGCACCAAATATCCCATTATCTGATGCGAGGCTCACTATACTGGATAATTTTCGACAAGGTTCAGCCATCTTTAGGAAATCGTAACAATTTTATGCCGTAGTTAATTTTTATTACTACAAGGGGACCTAGTCGAAATAATAACGGTTTTGCATGTTCTTCAAACCATTATATTAGTTACACACCGTTATCACAGTTTTTAATAAGTCTACAGTTGAACATACGCCTCCCATCAAGAAATGTCACAAAGTAAGGTCCTGAGCCAACTGCAGTCATCCATTCTATATATTTTATAAAATGTTGGTGCTGATAGCCTATACGGCTCTTGTAGCTTCATCTGACTCATGGCTCTGCGCTGCTGATATGCCATCCATTTCAATGGATATAATATAGCTTGATATAATTTTTCTGTTTATTCCAGGAGGACGAAATATTAAATGACCAGCGTCGATTAGCTGTTAGCGTAACGCGTGCAAAACACAAGTTTATAGTTTTAGGTAATTCGACTGCACTAAATCGTTATGAACCACTTAGTCGTTTAATAGATGCTTGTCACCAGATTTCATTAGATTTAGATGTAGTTAGCGTGTTATTATTGAAGTATAAGTCTTTGACAATTAAATAGGTTGTAATTGTATACTGTTTATACTCCTATTTCCCTTGAAGACTGCATTTAAAAGATATGTTTCATGTATATGTATATTTAAATTGTGTACTATTTTTCTAAAATTATGTTTTCTTTAATATGTTTAATGAGTATGCCCAAAAAGCAATTAATTATGTGGATTTGTGCCTTCTTTTTACATAAATAAATAAAGTTGTATTGAATTTTGCTGTCTATGCTTTTATTCTCTCAAATATATGCTATCTTATCATACACTGCTGAATATTTCTGGTACCCCGAAAACAACGTATACCAACATTTGGTCTTTAAGCGGATATCACGGCTGCAACAAAATTAAAGCCAATAGTTTTTAAAAATGTCTTGTTCTATTTATCGCGCAGTTCCCGAACGACCTAACCAGAGAACATAGAGAAACATCTGCATCTCAGACTAACTTAGTTACTATAACTGTTTAGACCGTTTGTAAAAGATACCTGCGGGTAATAACCCGTAATTACGCCCGTAAATAAGGCTGTCGGCTAATAAGGTCTACGTTACAAAATTCGTTTTTATAATAACCGCTTTTGCTCAAGGACTTATATTACACGATAATATCTATAAGTTTTCAGAGACGAGCTACCCCATGCCCTGCCACCAGAGTTGCATTATGTATCATATGATACGACCGCACTGCACCAATAATAAAAGTCAGTCCTTTTAAATCTTAGATATGTTTTGTAATATTACACTTAGCTATCTAAAATAGTAATCTTTATTTTTGTGAATAAATGCTTTACGTAACGGCGTCATTTTTTTCATTTACTTTTTCTTAAATACTTGGTCGGTGGTTATTATGGCCTACTAAATTTCATAATAGGCCATATTATACTCCCTCTTCGTGTGTAGTTTAGTTTAATTTTCTTATGTATTTTATATCACCCTTAAAATGTTATAAATGCAAATAAATCGTACGTTTTTATTACTTAACTAATGTCGTAGTCAGAAAACGACCGAACGACAGAAAATGTTGACTTGTATTGTTGGAAAAAATCTAATTTAAACGTCGTATCCTCTCTATTAATTTTTAAGTTAATTTTTATTCGATTTCAGTTCTAAAAGAACTGATTGTAGGTTTTAATATAATAATGAATAAAAAGATTTAAACTTTTAAATTACTTTATTTTTATAAATTTAACGTATATAATAGTGGAATAAACACAATAGAATTGTATGAACCCCTGACAAGTTTGCGTTTTATGTCTGACAACTCAAAAGTAGATTCTGAAGACATTAAATCATTTGGATGCACAGTAGATATATCGACACAGTAAATGTTTAGTTCGGATTAATTGATTTGTTTTCTAAAAAAAATCCGAGCATTGTTTCATCTCCTTTCCACTAAAAATAAATTATTTGTCAAGTTTACAAAATGCAATCACTCGAACGACGCGATTATTCTTTGTAGGTATCCAACAATTTTTTTACTTTCCTTCAAAACAAATATCCTCTAATATTAGCATTAAAATAGGTGTTGAATTATCTTTGATCACATGACTAAGATAGGAATTGCTGATGACGAATTTTAACTGTGGATATACATCACTTTTTACATCTTTTTTTGCACATCATACTGAGATTTTTGAATCTCTATTAGACTGTTGGCTATTTGAGCTAAGGGCTTATTACCGCTACGAAACATTAATATACACATTGATTTGAGTAAAAGGAGTAAAAATTAGTGTGGGACATGGGTGTATACTCTTCCTCTATAGAGTATTTATGACAGCCATGTTGAGAATTGAGATTCGTCACTCCTGTAAAAAAAATAAGTAATTATACTAAATTAGGGTTTGAAACCTGATATAGAATGCATTGCATACAACAACCTAATGGCTTTTGAAAATACGTTTCAACAGGTACGGGTTTATAAGGTAAGCTTTTCGAAACTAGGAAACTAAAAAAAAATTTGCACTGACTTTTACAGCTTCTACTTTCTTTTTACTGAGGGGTTTTAATAACATTTATTTCATGTGATTATTGTAGAAAATTCACCAAATAAAACAAGCTAATTTCATATATAAATGGTCACTCCTACTTTTGATGATGTATGACCTTGCTGGGGAATCACATAAAAACATTTTAATGTTACCGCTATAGTATAATCACCAATTTTAATGTCTTGCTTTAAAATTGTATTCAATTCATCAACTAATGGTGACAGGAATTCGTTGAGGTCTAGTGGTTTTTAAAAAAATTTTACAACTGTCCTCAATATGGCAAGTCGTGATTTATATTATATTGTATATAGATTCATAGATTATTTAACTCACGCATGTCCCGCGTAAATTACAGTGGGCGTTCTAAATGAAAAAGGGGTGTATACCTAATCTTCGGGAGAAGGCAAACGCTGTATCCGCTTTTCATCCAACTCTACACTAACTTCAGTGCACAATCATAATTAAATGACCAGAATATGTATGAAAAATGCTTTCGCCCAAAACAAATATCAAAGTTTGCCAGGATTGTGGCCATCATCATGAAGGAGGGGACGCGTCTGTGAAAATTGTTACAAAAGAGTGGAGAGTGAAACAATAGAAATACAAGCTTAAATACAACAAAAATTTGTAGTAATTGTATTATATGAAGGGGAAAATGTTTCCGAAATGCCTAATGAATCTTGGAAAAGTAAGAGAAGAAAAATTGAGATGAAAAAAGAAAAACCTCAATGTTTCAGCAAAAATTTTTGGCAGAAACCAACTCAGCAACTTGCTAATTCCCAAGATGTTAAGCCAACTGATCTAGCTTAAATATTGAATTAAGTATAATATTGAGTATTGAATAAGTTATTAAAATTATTAGAAAGTCTACGCCAAAGAGTATTATAACTGCTTGTTTATTCCATAGGCATACGACACCTTCGTACCTTGTTGAACAAAACGCGTAAGCGACCCCGTTTCGGCGGCGTTTACGACTTTTTTCTCGCGAGTATTGAGCTATAATGCTTCCTATCTCATTTTCTCCCACGTTAAATCTTATGAATTTATGTGTCTGTCTCCTTTTACTGTCGCTTTTTCGTTTCTTAAACTTTCAAATCACAACGATACTAAGGAAGTTTTCACTTCAAAAATCATGAGTGGCTTCACCGATACCTCATAAGTAATATGCTTAGACTATTGAACCCAATGAATGGTCAAAGCATAGAATTATTAGGACTCTATGGGTCAAAGGTAGTATGTATCGACTCCTGGGATCATGAGTTACCAGTACATAGGTCACTCAATAAGTTTTGAGATGCGCGAAATTTAAAAATGGAACGCACCCTATGTTTCTAAAAAGCAAATTTATTTAAAAATAGAACTCTATATGCTCAATATTAAAAAATAACAAAGTTCTATTAATTTTCCTGCAATGCTTCCCGCGCTTTTCATTTAAAACAATTGGTCTTGATCGTGAACATTTGCGGGCTATAATCTATTATGATTTTAAATTTGGTTTATCTGAACAATTAAGTTGCGCAACAATTTTTAGGTGTTTTACTGAATGCAAAAAGGGTAAAATTAACCTTAAGATAACCAAAGAACCGGCGCCCCGCAAACAGCAGTAACGGTAGAAAATGTATGGATCACTGAAATGTTTGTGCGAGAAGATCCACGAATCATATATAAGGACATCGAAAAGATTGTACGCATTAGTTCGGGGAGCATTTAACATTTATACCATCCTACATCAACATCTTGGAGTGAGGAAGCTTTGTTGCCGATGGATCCCTCGTTTGATCTCCGAAAGCGAAAACAGACTCGTGTGGATTGGTGCCATGAAATGTGTCTACGTTTTAAAAACTGGGCATCTAGGCGTTTTTCAGAAATCGTTACTGGTGACGAGACGAGGATCTATCAATATGATCCGGAAATTAAAAGGCAATCATCGGTGTGGGTCTACTCTAAAGGACAGATACTGACAAAACTGCAAAGACCTCGCAACGTCGGCAAAAAAATGGTGGCTAGATTTTTTTTCGCGGAGCAGACATTTGTTGACGTCAATGCTGGAAAATTGAAGTCAGTCAACTCTGAATGGTATACTACAGTTGCATTACCCAAAGCTTTTCAAGCTGTGCGGGAGAGAAGACTAAAGACCGGGCTTCGGGGAATCATTCTGCATCCCGATAACGCCTCTTCACATACCTTCCTTATTACAAAAGCATTTATTGAGGAATCTGGTGTTGAAACTCCAAGTCACCCACCCTACAACCCTGACTTGGCTCCTTGTGATTTCTTTTTGTTCTCAAGAGACAAAGAAAAAAATCAAAGTTAAGTTTTTTTCAAGTGCCGAAGAAGCAATGGCGGCCTACGAAGAAGCGATTTCCGACCTGTCAGATTTGTTTCGGATTTTTGGATTATTCAAAGTACTCTGTGTATCCGAATATCACTTCTTTTTTCCCTTTGGAGGAGGCCTATGTTCAGCAGGGAACTTGTGAAGGGCGGTAATTATGACGATGTCTGATGATTTCTTGTACCTATCTATCTACGAAATTACAAACATTTAATAATTTTCTATACACTCAAGCGATGATATTATAAATTAAAATATGGTAATGTTAAGTTATCCCTTTTAAAATGCGGCTAACATTTTAGTATATATTGTGTGGAAAATGGTCTTAAGTTAGTAGCATTTAGAAGGTAAATAATTTGATAAAAATATATTCTTTAAATACTTACAAATTAAAAAAGTTCCTTACCGAATGGCTTAGAAATATAAATTATGAAAAAAAGGGGCTTTATTTGATGAAATCACAATATATATATATATATATATATATATATATATATATATATATATATATATATATATATATATACAACATGTAACATAATTAACGCACTTTGAGAAAGTAGTTTGTTCAGAATCGTTTACTGAATCGATTCCTATCAATTTTAATATAGGTAATTTTTTATCCCAAAAATTATTAAAACTACGTAAATCACAGTCACACTAAATCTGTACGGTCAAAACAAATTGAAATGAACCTTAACTTAAGGTAATAAGACTTTTAAGAGTGCAGTTTTATTTGTATTATTACTAATTCTGTCATTCAATAAAAATAAAGAAAAATGAACTTTATTTCAAGCAATAATGATTTCTTAAATTTACGCGAACACTACACATTGAATAAAACTAAATTTACGGATTTTATCGCGTTTATTTCACTACTTTTACTTATTTTTAATTCAATTTTTACCATCCGTCAAGTGTAATATCCCTCTACAAGATGCAGGAGTGTACAAGTTAGATTGTGAATGTGGTCTCTCTTACATAGGTCAAACAAAAAGATCCATAAAAACCCGCGTGAAAGAACATATAGCTGACGTGAAGCACCGACGCTCCGGAAAGTCTGCAGTCTGCGAACATGTTCAAGATCGTCCCCACCATTACATTCGTTTTGATAAACCACAAATTCTCGCAAAAGAACACCGATTCCTACCAAGGATGATACGCGAGGCTATTGAAATTAAAAAACATCCAAATTTCAATAGAGAAGATGGATGGGTGCTGCCACCTGCTTGGGATCCTATAATTAACAAAATTAAACCCAAACCTAAGCATACCACTGCAAGACTTCATGATACTATAAGCTCGTTTTGCGTAAATCGGACCAAAAATTAATATTCAAAAACTGAAGGTAGCCGGACTAACTATGACATTGGGACGTCAAACATCTCAGTCCCCCCCGTGACCATGGTTGCTGTAAAGCACCCGAAACGTCGGGAATTAAAAATAAGTAAAAGTAGTGAAATAAACGCGATAAAATCCGTAAATTTAGTTTTATTCAATTTATTTCAAGCACTTTAAAGTCTTTGCGTTCGTGGATTTGTACTGTGACCACAACATTCTTCCGGATTAAGTATAACTAATTTGATAAATAATCAGTGCATAACAATGTTTAACTAAAAATTCAGTGTATTTATTACGATTATAACGTAATATACTAATTGGGGTGTCTGAGGATATGCGTTAATTACGTTACATATTGTATATATACACTATTTTAGATAGGTAATATTTAAAAATTTGAAATTTTTTTAAGAAATTTTCTATGGAATATCAGGATACCTGGCATAGGTATGTATTTACTTAAAATAATATCCCAGCAACGGATAAATTTATCTATTTAAACAAACAATGTAACAATAATAAAATTTATTTATTTACTGGAATTTTGCTCCTACTTTAGTCGATTTGTCAAATAGAACCTGGTCACGTTGCTGTCACCTGAGAGCGTGAAGCATGAAGGTTAAAGAACAGGAGAACGATCGCCGTAGAAAATAGTGTCCCAGAAATATGGACACCATCAGTGAGGCGCTGCGACCACTAAGTTCAGTCAATAAAAGTCATTTTCAGTCTATTTTTCCGATCAGATGCTAAACCACTTGCACATCCACGCACAATAAAATATTTCTCCATTTTTTAATGTTTCTTTTTGTCAAAAATTACAAAATTACGGAGCATGAAAATTTTCTACGAAAAATGAAATGAAAATTTGTACATTATTCAACTAACTTCACCTACTTGTACTCATAAACAGCTAACTTCGCAGTCACTACACGCCGACGTCAGCACCGCTATATTCTACAATTTTCAAGGACAGGCGGGCTATGCTTTAGTACGTAGTGAACGTTCTCCTGTTCTCTAACCTTCATGGCGTGAAGCGTGAAAGACAGACCATGATTGCCGTAGAATTAATGGTGGTTAATATAGCGCATAACGCCATATAGCGCGTGTTATGTAAGTAGTCGCCATGGCGCTATTGCGCTCTGGCGCTTGGCACTATTATAAGTACATATTAATATCTAGCGGCAACTAGTTCTAACAGCAGCGCTGTTGGGAGTGGACGTGTGACGTAAATTTGATCTAGTAACACGCTATTCAACGCGCGCGACCTAATTTAGTGTTAGATGTTATTTGGTTAGTGTATACTGATAAGTGATCGAAGGACACAGTTGTCTGTTACAAAATAAGCCCAACTAATGTCAATCTTTTTACTTATTAATGCCCAATAAAAATAGATACAAAGGTGTATATAATAGTGTGTGTAAATAGTTGATATACAATATAAAAAAAATTGTATATACAATCAATAAACTTTGAAATACACCTTGAATTTATTTATAATTTATATTAAGGTTAAAATAAAATTTACATCGAATATAATAAAATACAATTTAATTTATTTTGTTTTAAAAATTACATGTCTTAAAAATATTTTTAGGATAATAGAAAGTCGTAAGCCTGGAATATATGAAAGAGCGTTCATTGGTTTTTCTTTATCGCTTTATTTTTTTTATTTGAGTATTAAATGCGACTTCTTATGAAATAATGTTCCTATACCTATATACACGTTCCTATGGTACACGCTCTATCCAACGAACGACGTGGAGAGCGTGCTGCAAAACTTAACGCGCTTGCCGGCCTCCTACACGCTTTCTTATTAATAGCGCGCTATAACATAGCGTATTTAATAGCGCGCTAGAAATTTATAGTTTATAGTCTATAGCGTGCTATTGATTTATAGTCGTTTTGAACAACTTTACATAAAATTATAATATTACCTACATCTATGATAATTATACAGATATGTTGCCAAGCTAGTAGATTTTTCACTAAAACTGGTATATTCGACCACCTCGTAGTGGAGAAATATTGCTTTTAGTGGCTGGCGTTTTTTCTAGTGGTTCAGTAGAATTTTTTTTATAATATGAGGTGATAAACGAGCACACAGTCGACTTGATGGTAAGTGGTTACTGTGGCCCAT